TGCTCTAAGTCTGAGCCTCGCCCCCTCCCCCCCCCAAAAATGAACACATGGAACTTCTTTACACTGAATCAGACCCTTGGTCTATCAAAGTCCTTCAGTTCACCTTCTGCCAGATCTTTTAACTGGAGATGCCAGGGATTGAACCTGGGTCCTTCTGTATGCCAAGCAGATGCTCGGCCACAGAGCCACAGCGTCTCTTTTTAATTTGGGATGCCAGAGATTGAACCTGGGTCCTTCTGCATGCCAAGCAGGTGCTCTACTGCTGAGCCGGGGCCCCTCCCCTACTTCTTTTTCTCTGAATGCATTCTGTAAACACCAGAAGGGCCCCAGATTCCAATATTTTGAGTTCTGCCCTGGTAAATGGGTTGGATCCAGTGCAAGGAACTTGCGAGGATCCCCGATTGCCCCTGCTCTCCCTTCTCCCCAGCAGCCATTTCTGCTCCTGGGAAAGTTTATTCCCGGCATTGGGAAGGGGCTGTGGCTCAGTGGAAGAGCTTCTGGCTTTGCATGCAGAAGGTCTCAGGTTCAATCCCTGGCAACTCCAGTTGAAAGGACCAGGCAGTAGGTGATGTGGAAGACCTCTGCCTGAGACACTGGAGGACTATGGAGAAGGACCATGGCTCAGTGGTAGAGCATCTGCTTGGCATGCAGAAGTTCCCAGATTCAATCCCCGGCATCTCTAGTTGAAAGGACTAGGCAGTAGGTGGTGGGAAAGACCTCTGCCTGAGACCCTGGAGAACTATGGAGAAGGACCATAGTTCAGGGGTAGAGCATCTGCTTGGCATGCAGAAGGTCCCAGATTCAATCCCCGGCATCTCCAGTTGAAAGGACCAGGCAGTAGGTGATGTGGAAGACCTCTGCCTGAGACCCTGGAGAACTATGGAGAAGGACCACGGCTCAGTGGAAAAGCTACAGGCTTTGCATGCAGAAGGTCTCAGGTTCAATCCTCAACATCTCCCCTTAAAAGGACCAGGCGTTAGGTAATGTGAAAGACCTTTGCCTGAGACCTTGGAGAGTTGCTGCCAGTCTGAGTAGACAATACTGGCCTTGATGGACCAAGGATCTGATTCAGTAGAAGGCAGCTTCATGTATGTTTACCTCTGCCAGACCTGCACGGAAAGGGGGGGGGAAATCACTCCCATAACTATGGGGCGGGTACAACCACTCCCTTCTACCTCTTTGTCAGCGGATTTCCACTTTTGCAAGAGGCCGAAGGGAAAGGTTTTGTGGGACCCCCAAGCCTCCCAACCCCCTATGCTTCCTCCCACCCCCAGAATAAACTCTGAAGGGGTCAGAAACGGCTGCTTAGGAATGGAGAACCAGGGAGACCTGCAGTTACCAGCACTTTCCCCCGATGGACTGCACCGAGGCGGCCAAACTGCGGCTCCTCGCGAGCCGCATGCAGCTCTTTCACACATATTGTGCGGCTCCCAGCGGGGCGGCTGTTGAAGCGAAGGGGAGGCATGCCTCCCTGATTGGTCTTCCCTTCCCCAGCCAGTGCTGAGGTGGGGGTGGGGGGAGAAAGAAAGCAATTTTAAATGCATTCTCAAAGGTCGCCCCCCCCCCGCTGGCTTGGAGAAAGCATTTGTCTCTTCCAACATCATTATCAATATCTGTTTCTACCCCTTTTGTTTTCATTTCTGGCAGTCTTACTTCATCGTTAATGTTATCAAAAAGCAAATCTGCATATTTTCCAATTAAAACGTGTGTGCAATATTTGTTCACGTCTCGCGGCTCTCAGGCATCCGACGTTTCTTCTGTGTGGCTCTTACGTTGAGCACGTTTGGCCGCCCCGGACTACAGGGCCCAACTCAATATTTCTGGTAATCCAAAATTCAGCAGAGAAAGATCATGTGAGCCTCACTGCTTGGTGCATTGGAAGAAGTGTGCTTTGCACATGAAAGCTTATGCCAGGAATAAAACTTGGTTGGTCTTAAAGGCACCACTGGACTCCAACGCTGTTCTGCTGCTTCAGACCAACACAACTACCCCACCTGAACCTATCTGCTTGGTGCAATGTACACGAAGTTTCCCCATTTTTATCCACATAAAAACCCTGTGAAATATGTTGGACTTGTGAAAGACAGGCTACCTACACAGCAGAACTGGCGGAAAGGGGATTCGAACCCAGGTCTCCCTAGTACACAATGCCAACTCCTTGTCTACTACACTGGTGCTTTCTCAAGTCCTTTTTTTTTTTTTTTACAAAAAACTTTATTCACCCCACCTTTCTTCTAATGGGTACCCAAAGGGCATTGCATTGTTCCCCTTCTCCTCCGTGTTACCTCACAACAAGCCTATGAGGTAGGTTGGGCAGAGTGTGTGACTGGCCCAAGGTCACCCAGCGAGCATCCTTGGCAGAGAAGGAATTCGAACCTGGGCCTCCCAGATCCTAGCCCAACACTAACCACCACGCCACACCACAGCCAGTGATTCTTTTCAAACTTTATTCCTTCAGGATCCCCTTGCCAGATCCACTTGGCTGTTGGGTTTCACCATCACTCTGTGTGAGACCGAAAGGGGCCAGGAACACCAATGACACTCTTGTGAACTTATGAAATTGCAGGGGTACCTCAGCCAGAGTAGACAAGCCATCCCCCACAGCACTCTGCCTGCTATTCTTCTCACTAAGGAACTCTTCCTAAGCTTCCAAGGGACTCCAAGATTTTCCAGGAGGAAGCAGAAATTGAAAGCTATTGCACAATATATTGCACTACTTTGTGAAATGGCAGAGGTACCTCAGCCAGAGTGGACAAGCCACATACCCCACGGCACTCTGCCTGCTCTTCTTCTCGCTAAGGAACTCTTCCTAAGCTTCCAAGGGACTCCAAGATTTCCCAGGAGGAAGCAGAAACTGAAAGCTATTGCACCGTATGTTAAAATACTTTGTACAATAAAAGCAGGCTGAAAGAACACACCCTCATTTCTCTTCCGGCTCCCTTCAAACCACCAGGTTTCAAGTAGACTTAAGATACCCAGGACATGTGCACCACCCATGCATAGACTAGGCTAGACCCCCTGCCTGCCTGCACAACCGTACAATGCTGGAAGACAGATTGTACTTTCCCCTTCCTGAAGAAGAGGAGGAGGAGAAGGAGATTGGATTTATAACCTGCCCTTCACTCGGAGTCTCAGAGCGGCTTACAAACTCCTTTCCCTCCCTCTCCCCACAACAGACAGCCTGTGAGGTAGGTGGGGGTGAGAGAGCTCTTTCAAGAACTGCCCTTTCAAGAGCAGCTCTGACAGAACTATGGCTTGCCCAAGGTCATCCAGCAGCTACATGTGGAGGAGTGGGGAATCAAACCCGGTCCTCCCAGATTAGAGTCCATGCACTTAACCACTACACCAAACAGGCCCTGGAATCTCCTGCACAGGCATGTTTTCCTTTGCTTACCTACATCTGAAGATATAAGCCCACAGGATCTGTTTTTGAAGAGAAAGGAGATCCTCTGAGCTTTCTCAGAGAGCCAGTTTGGTGTAGTAGTTAAGTGCGTGGACTCTAATCTGGGAGAACCGGGTTTGATTCCCCACTCCTCCACTCGCACCTGGCTGGATGACCTTGAGCAAGCCGTAGCTCTGATAAGAGCTGTTCTTGAAAAAGAGCCTTTTCTGTCAAGAGCTCTCTCAGCCCCACCTACCTCACAGGGTGTCTGTTGTGGGGAGGGGAAGGGAAAGGAGTTTGTAAGCCGCTCTGAGACACCTTTGGGTAGTGAAGGGCGGGGTACAAATCCAATCTCTTCTTCTCTAAAATCTCTTCCTCTCTTCTTCTTCTCAGCCCCTTCATTCTCCCCCAGAGACATCCCATTTAGCATGCCATCCTAAGGACGCTTTCCTGGGAATGAGCCCCAATGACTAGACCTGCTTAGGATGACGCTGTTAGATACTTATACAACGGACCCAGTGAAGACACTGTTAACCTGGCCCCCTTTGAAACGCAGTGATCATCCCAATTAAGTGGTGCTTTAATGCACCAGCATTCTGTTGTTGGTCTGGCCTGGATGGGCCCCGGCTAGCCCGATCTTGTCAGACTCTCTGAAGCTAAGCCAGTCAGTCCTGGTTAGTATTTGGATGGGAGACCACCAAGGAAGCCCAGGGTTGTGACACAGAGGCAGGCCATGGCGAACCACCTCTGAACGTCTCTTGCCTTGAAAAACTCAACGGGTTGGCCATCAGTCAGCTGCGACTTGATGGAACTTTCCACCGACAATTTTGTCGTTGCATAAGAAAAAGAAGAGGCTCAACAAAACCCTTCAGGCTGTGCACGTTGCACCTCTCTAGAAGGCAGCTGGAGAAAACAATTCTGTCTGTCTAACAGAGTTTG